GTTACTTTCCAAGTGAAAGATACACTCTGCCTAAGCTTACTTAAACTGTAATAGTGACGGAAGTGCTACCATAAAGCAGAAACTGGATACGGCATTACCATTTTCTAGGTTTAAAAGTGTTACTTCGCAACTTGTGCGACCTTGATTTGATCCTCTGAAAACAGTTTTACATAGCATCTTGGCTGAGTTCAGAGAGCTTTATGAGGTTAGCTTGGGGGTATGTAAAACCGGAAAAAGTGTCTTCTCCATAAGGTTAAAGACGGGTTTCTGTTACGAGTCATGCTATCACTTCGTAATCTTAATGCCTAAAAAAGCTCCCTGAAAATTCTAGGAGTACTTAGAAGTCTGCTTTACTGGAAGACTCCTTTTTATTGCAGAACTTCCACCACCACCTCGTTCAGAACGCATCTGGTCAAAGGAGCTCGTGTGAGCCTGTCGCTCCTAACAACTTCCTGGAGACACTGGCAACACGTCCCATTTCTCTTGGCTGTCTGCGGGTACGAGTTAAAGTAAAAGCTCCATGTCAGAACCCTAAAGCCTTTAAAAAGGGCTGCATGCTTTTAAAAGCTATTGACATTGGCTTTCCTGAGGAATATAAATGACAGAAAATGTTTGGGATAGACGGTTGCCTCTTCTAACTTAGGCTTTGTTATTCTTTTCAGCCTTTGCTGAAAGAATTGTATTCTTTTAATTGTATTCAACACAGGCCACTAAAATGTGTAAGCCAGGTATGAATGTGAAATAAGTGTGTTCCATCGCTTGCACTGTAATAGGTCAATCAATGTGAGAAAACAAACGCTTTTGTAAACTATTAGGACAAAAGCCAAAAATCAGGACTTTTCAGCAAACACAGAGAAATCCTTTCAAGAACTGTCTATGGTTTTGCACCCTTGGTTGCAGATTCTTGTTGAGGGGAATCTATTCAGGTTTTTTTTATCCAAACCTTTACAACCAACTATCCGCCACAGTTGTTAAACAAGTTACATAGTGCTCCTCCTCTTCTGAAGGAGAGGAAAAAAAAAAGAAAAAAGCAGTGTTTGCAAAAGCAGTAAGTTATGCAGAGGCAGCTGGTGAATTAGAGTTCACTGTCTATTTCACAGGGTGTAAGGATGTCAGACTCTTCCACATGCTAGTTCACTGCCCAGTGTATCCTTCCCCTTTGTTATTTCCATTTCTGCCTTTCCTCACCTTGTGATATTATACAACCGGGATGGATCATAAGCAAATCTAGGGTGATACAAATACATCACCCCTTCAAAATGGATGCATGAGGCACACTACAAACTTTTGAAGGCTATAGCTTTAATAGGTGGCATTTATAGGGGAGATATGAGATTAGAATTAAATAATTTGTAATCTTGCTATTTAATGTATAGCGTAGTTAGCCTCAGCAATATGAAAGAGCAGTGAAGTTCCCCTTGATATTAGCATACCCTACTCTCATGAGGTTTAGGGAAGAGGTACTAGTCCCAAAGTTGTTTGAGTGTTTAGGTGGTAATCTAATTTCTAAATATTAAGTTTTGTTTATGAAATAAACATTTCTCCATAAACATTTATTCAATAAAAAAAATCATGTTGCACTTCTTTAATAGCCATACCTCGCCCTGTGGCTTCTGCCTTATTTCCTGTTTAAACTTCTTAAAATTATTTGTATACATTTCAGAATTCCTCTCAAAGATATCTAGATTTTATCTGCTAGATAATGTCTCTTCCCTGAATTTATGAGCTAAATATGAATTTCCTGAAACAACTGTTTGTCCACAACAGTGATACCATCGATCAGTAATATAACCGTTCTGATGTATCTTTATAGAGACATAAATGCTTAGAATTCTTAATCTGTTTATTGCAACTTCATGCACAATCAGAGACTTTATAAAATTCCTAATTTGCAATCTCATTGGTAAACAGTGAAGTGCAGCTGTTCAGGCTACTTGCAGCCAGCTCTGGTTACTTCAACTGGCTAGCCTGTGCTAGCGTATTGCATTGTCTTTGAGAGGACTGTCCCAGTTTTAGCTGAGACAGTGTTAGCTCTTCTTCTTAGCAGCGAGAAGAGCTCTGTGTTTTGGTTTTACTCAGAGGCTCGCTCTGAGAAGAATGTTGCTAGCAAGCTGATGTTTGTGGTTGGAAGTGAAACTCCAAGGACTTTTCAGTGTGCCATGTTCTGGCCAGAGTGCTGAGGCACGGCGGGATAAGGGGGAAGCATAGCTGGGACAAGGGGGACACGATTCCCCTTGTGATTTGTGGTGGAATTTAAGATTAAGGGCAAAACTGGCCAATTAGTATTCCATATCATGCAGCGTCATGCCCAGTATAAAAGTGAGGGACAGCCGGAAGGAAGGGCTTTGGCTCTTTCGCCGCTTTTGCTCCTTTGCGCTTCTGCGCTTTTGCTCTATTGCCTTTTTTTTCTCCCTATTCCAGTACTCCCACTCTCGGAGTACTGTCTCTCTCTCTCTGCCCCTCTCTATTTCGGGGCCTCACGTTTGTCCGGGATTGCAGCTTTGGGATGAGATGGGCTTCGCACACGAGGGGGTGGTGAGCATCTACACTGTGCATTAAATCATCTGTATTAAATTGTTCTTATCTCAACCCACGGGTTTCCCGTTTCTCCTTTAATTCTCTCCCTCATCCCTGGGGCTGGGGGAGGGTGAGTGAGCGACTGTGTAGGGTTTGGTTGCCGGAGCGGCCTAACCCATGACAATGACAAATACAATTTATTGCATGCTAACATTTGTAGTCGGGCTGAAAGTAGCAGAAATGAGGCAATACAGAAAGTCACTTCTTAAAAATAAAACACAAATCTTATTTAAGATGAAACTTCTAATTTTAACAGTAAGATTTTTTAATGTGGATTATTTCTTATGCTTTTACATTATGCAAACTTTGGAAGAAATGACTTGTTAAATAGATGAACCAATGATCAGGACAAAATACTTTATTTTAATAAACACCTTTCCGTAGTTTAGTCCTTAGTTTAAGCAAGACATACTACTCATTTTAATAAAGAATTCAGATTTTGCATCCTCAGAGGGTAAATGCACTTTGTACATCACTGTTCCACTATCCAGGTTAACTTTTCATATTGCTTATGCCTTTTTTTTTTTTGAAAAACATACAAGTTCTAGAAATATAAGAACAGAAAAAGGAAAGTGATCGCAGTAGCTAATAAAAGCAGCTACGCTTTTAAAACTTGTGTGTGTTATATGTAAACAGATAATCACTTCTTGTCTGGCTTTTAAGATAAAAAAAAAAGACCTAACAGCCCAACTGCTACTTTGAAGCGTCAAAGTTTGGAAAAAGTCATTTAACTTCCAGCTTCAGTGAGATCTTAACATTTGTTGAAGGCAAGTGATCACAAATGGTTGTATTTCTTTTTGATTTTTTCATTTTTAGCTGAACTACTGAAGATTTATCCCTGTGCAAGACATCCAAAAGCATGTACAATTTAAAAATAATTGGACCCTTTATCACAGTAATCAATTGTATAAATACAAGTGAGGAACTGGTTAGGTAGTGATTTTAAAGATTTAGATGTGTAAGCACAAGCTAGCAGTGACATATCATTGTAACAAGCATCATATAAAAAGATGGCAAGGGAAAGTCAGCCTTCACCATGTGAAGTAGCTTGATTTGTTCTCGGGGAGTTCTGTACCCCACTTTATGTCTTTCATGAAGCCTATTATTTATATTATTTGGAAAGAGCCCCTTGAGCAACATCAGGATTATAGTTTCTACAATCTGATTAGAAAAGACTTCCTTCACATAACAGAAGTTTTAAAAGATTTCAAAGGTATCAAAGGCTACTTAAAAGAAGAAGAAAAAAGCCTCTGAATTTGTGTTGGTTAGGACAAGATCTAATTGTTTTTCTTCACTCACACCATGGCATGGAAGATTTATATTGGACTGATGTTCCACAACTTTCTCAGGAAGATTAAGTAGTCCTTCCCCCTCAACAACAACAAAAAAAGAGGGGCAAAAAAGCAGTTAGCTCTCAGAAATGACAGTTGATTCTGAAGTATTTACATAGACTGAAGGGCTATTCATGGCAGTTTTTAAACCTGTTTCTTCTCACACATTTTTGGTGGGAAGCAACACTACTTCCCATTATTTTCTTTAAAAACTGATTGTCATTCAATAATTTATGAAGGTATGGCCATATCTTCACTAGTTCCATCTTCCTTGTTATCCATAGTACGTGCTCCAAAGATTTGAAGAGTTCTGTTTCTGCTTTACTTCACGTTTGATACCTCAACATATCCTATTTACCCTTCCCCTTGCTTCATCAAATAGTGGTAAGGTAAGCAAATGCAAACTGAGTTCTAACCACCTAAAAAGTATGATTTTATTATGTGTTACACATTGACTGGGGGGAAAAAATCAGTAGCAACTAGAATAAAGTGTTAAGACCTGGATTTAAGATATACAATTAAGAAAACTGCAGAGTCATGTTATTAATTTTAAGGCAATTTTGTCTTTTTTTTCCAAACCTAGCAAGGTCCAACATTCAAAGTGTGCAGTCCATTGCTGTTTCATTTTAAGCTTTAAGTAAATAAAGCATGAAGTGGTATTAAAAAAATTATATTGACTTTTTATTCACTTTATTAAATACATGTTTACATTTATGAAAAAGTCTACCAGTTTGCTAATTTAGATTAAGTTAACCATTGTATAAATCACATATGCTTGGAAGTATGCAGTGCTGCCAAACTTCAGTGACACTTACATGAAAAAAAGAAAACAGTTCGATTCTTTTATTAGAAATATAACAGTATGTCACAATATATTGCAAGCTAGATATTTATTTCAAAACAGTATGCAGCATACAAGCAGTGTTTAATTTTTATAGGACTATGTAAAAATTACTCTTTCCAAATCTGTAGTTCTTCACATTGTCGGAGCTGTTTTACTAATTAACCAGCAAACAGGGAAAAAGACAAAAACGACGAAGAAAGTTGTATGCACTTAAACATACTGAGGAAGAGATAACGAGAACGTTGACCTCAAGGAATAACCTGCATACCTGGCCCATTTTCTGCCCATTGAAAAAAGCCACACTGTTTTTCCTTCCCAAGAGGGCACACAAAAAAGTTCTTTCCATTATTGGGACCAATCTTCAACACAGTCTTCATAACACATCGTTTGCCATGGTTACAAAATGGAAAATTCAGGTCAGCCCACTGCCAAAAGAAACAGGTTTTAGACATAGTTTTAGCATAGGTGATAGCTATGAATTCATTATTTTAATATTGGCAACAGAAACATCTACAGGGGAGGCCCTAGTGGAAACTCTTCCTAGTAGTTAAGATAACTTGATCTCTTCTCTGATCGCTGATTTTAGATTTTTCTTTAATTGCAACTGCATGCACTTTAACTGATGTGACTTTAATTGATGGTACTACATAGTTTTCTTTGAATTAAGGCATTATAGTCATTACTGTCTTGAGTTCATCTGTTAACTACCTGGCGGTAGGTGACCACGTCGAACTCTTCTGTCACATGCACTCATAGCAAGCACAAATGGAAAAAATAGCTGCGAAAGTTGCAGCTAGGAGGGCTGGGTTAGGTATTAGTGCAGCAGAGGGAGCAGTTGCCCAGACAGACTACAGAATCTTTGTCCTTGGAGGTTTTCAAGATTTTGGCTGGACAGAAACATGGCTCATGTCTAGATCCAGAATTTGCCATAGTCCTTCTTCAAGGAAGAGACTGAACTAACCAACTTGTACAAGTCCCTTCAAACCAACATTTCTGCTATGTATCTGTTTTGCATCACACAGAAGCAGATTAAGAGCATTTGCACAAGCAGGTGCCTTCTCAGCAGTAAGCGAAGTAACTTTAAGTTTATAACTACTACGATGCTCTTAGTTTCAATTCAGTGTGCAAAAGTACTTAAAATTACCTCAAACTTTAAATGGATCATATCTGTCCACAATTACAGATTACTAGTGAAAGGAGGCTGCAGGAACAAGTGGTTGTTAGAAAACAGGCCCTGAAGTCTTACACGTACTTGGAAGTAGCCACACTGAGTTTCTCTGGGTAGAGGACAGGTATAAAACTGCCTGCCCTTGTTTTCTCCATCCTTTCTCACAACTCTGAGGCTGCAGAGACGGCTGTGTTCACTGCAGTGAGGATGGCCCGTGCTTAAAATACGAGTATCATCTGTCGCATTAGCTTGAGGCTTGCTGTAATGACAGGTTACAAATAACTCCTGTGCAATATTAGAGGGATGACCAACACCACAGCCAAAGAACGCTCTCCTACCATTACAACAGCTCACTCAGTGTACTTCTACACACCATGACAGTCAGAGAACTCGCTGCTTTCTTCTGCACCTTTAAAGGTAAATGATTGCTAGTAGTGAACAGACTGACTGGGTGCTTTTCTTGCAGGCATTATACCAGTCTTCCCCAGCATTAGCCCTTGTTTTAAATTATTTCAAAATACTCAAAAATAAAATGAAATTAATATTATCAATGCTATTATACTGCCCATCTGAAATTCCAACATACTGTAAAAAAGTATTCTGTTCTTAGTGGGAAAAAGACCAATTCCAAGGAATTACTCCAGGTTGAAGGTATTTGTATGCTTCACAGTACAGACTCCCACGCTCTTTACTAAAAAGTTAGAGTAATGCTCCAAATCATATTCGGCAAGAAGTAATCCAGCTGAGGGGATGGAACAGTGTTCTCTGAATAGGATAAATTTTCTTTCTTTCTTCCTCATGATTGAGATAGTCAGAGAGCATCCGAGTGCAATACACAAGGCTTTATTTAAAAATGGTAACATGAAAAGATTAACACTCTGAAATGCATCTGTCTAATATATTTATAGAGCAGAAAAGCAGTGATGAAACCTTAGTGAAAAAAGAAAAGATTTATTAATTCATTCTTGTTATCAGCTTAGGAATTTTATGTTCTCTTTTATGGCTGGAAGATGGTAGCCCTACAGACATCAGCAGTTTCATTCCAACACCTCATTAAAACAAAAGAAGAAAAAAAAAGCAACAAATTTTTTGTTACGAAGTTATTGATTTTTGTTTTTTGTTGGGTTTTTCAGGTTTTTTAAATGTTTAAGTTGATAACTTGCTATAACTACCTGTTACCATGATTGATACTGTCTCATTTCTTCTTTGCACTCCTCTGTATTCTCAATTAATCATCCTGCCTACATCCTCAGTTCTCTGTGGTCCTCTACTGAGACAGCAAGGAGAAAGTTTATTCATACAGCTTAACTTGGGTGTACCAGTGAGATCCTGTTTCAAAACTAGCACTTCAACAATGCAAGAAATAATTTCTGTATTTCAGAAGAGACACGTGACCATGACACATGAGAATTTAGTAGCGTGTCATTAACATTTCTCATTCACCCTGCATAATTTACCACGGTGAGTGCCATCTACCTCGCACTCCCATTACTGTTGTGTATGTCTGCCCAACTTGTCCTGGACAACCCTAAGAGGTTCTAACATTTCTCTTTACTAGGCAATGGATGTGTCCGAATAGGGCTGTGTAAATAACAATTCAGGATGGATAAAGTGTTGAAGTAGTGGCATATAGGATGGGGAGAAAAATTAAGGGAAAATAGCGATGGGAGTTTCACCAATGTGCCTATACAGAGTTTTGTATCATGCAAGAATGTTGAAAAGTGCTAGCTGACAAATAACTTTAATTAGAATATATTCATTCAACTACTTTCCTTTTGTCATCTTCAAAATCTCTATAAGCAATAGCAACTACAGTGCTAAGATCAGACAACTCCTTAGGTAGAACTGTGCTTGTTAACCCATTAGTGCTATACTGTCTATTCCACGAGAACAGCTGAACTACCAACAGCTGCTTAGTTAACAGCAGTGCTGGCCAGATTCCAAAATCAGGACTTTTCCAGTGACAGCCTAGGTCATTCAGTGCTTTTGAAATCTGAGTGTAATATTAGTTACCCAAGAATAAGTTATCTCTGGCAGAAATCCAAAGACAGCAGTGTTTGAACCCAACAGCACAGTATTCCATTAATCAGGGATAAAGCTGGTTTATGGGACTATAAAAAGACTTGTTTACATTTCAGAATACATACCTGATTGCTACATTAAATTGATGAACTGAGGGTACATGATCAGTTTTCTGTTTCTTTGGTACATGTTTGAAAGAGAGAGGTTGCTGACAGGGAGACAAAGCCATAGTAGTTACGTGTGTTGAGCAATCCTTGTCTGTGCTTCTCCCTGACTGGCAGACATTGTTTTGGATTTGATTACAATCATTTTTTGGAGCAACACACTGGGAGTGTCCATCAGATATTTGGGTATCATTTCTCAAAACAGCTTTGTTACCAAGATCTGTTAAGACAAGAGTTGTAGTTCCAAACGCAGCTCTTCTATTGATCTTTATTTCTGTACTTGGTTTTCTGAAATCATTACAAGGGTACTTCATTAAATTTATGTTAAAGGCTGCAGAATCTTCAACATTCTCTGTCTTTGGAACTAAAGAAAAATAAATTATTGGTTATAATCCATCTGTGTAGAATGATACATCATATTTCTGATCTGTATTCATAAAGTCATCATACAGGGAGTGAAAGAGTAAATTTATCATACCATCTTGAAAGATCTCAAAACCTGTCACAGATTAGATGTAGTATCAAATTTTTTACAGTAAAAAAAGCTTATGCAGTTTTGGAGTCACATACAACATGACTTTCAGGATAATCTAACTATTGCTTGAATAGGACCAGACGTGAATGGTACTCTGCAAATGAAAGCTATTGGAGAATTAACCATACAAAAATGAATTTGGCCCAAATGCATATTTAAATTTTTCAAAATAACCTTTTTTAACCCCAGCACTGGGAGATAAACAGGGTATGCTGCCTCCAGCAATACATTATCCATTTTTAAAGTATTGGTTTACTACTGACACAGAAAGGAATATTCATTTGTTGGGTTTTCTAGTGCTTTCAGGGTTCCCATCTTTTGTAAACACTGAGTGTGTCCAAACTTATTGATTTCTTTCTGTAAAAGGCTTTAGAAGCAAGCAGTTCAGACATTTACTTTGCATTTATTTCCTGACATGAACAATAGTATTTTACTTCACAGAACATGAGGCCTGCCTACTGGTCAATAATCATTCAAAAAAAGTGGGCATAATTTATTAATGCCGGTTTAATAAATAAGGAGACTGTAGGTAATCTTTCCTGAGAAAAAGGTGAAAAGAAAAACTTTATGGGGTCCCTATGTGCAATCTTTGTTAAGTAGCTGTGAAAACAGTGTCTTTGTTAAGTAGCTGTGAAAATACAGTGTTCAAGAATGGAGTCCTTTCTTTTCTATCATATCCAGCGAGTGGCTCCCTCCTACATCTTCCCTCCATACAAGGAAGAGGGAATTAAGCAGAACAAAAATGGGTAGAGATAAGGCATACACAATGGCACACTCTCTCTGAAGGCCTTCTCACTCAGAAACAAAAGAAGAATTCCTACAGTTTACTCTGAACAATATTCATTTCCAGGCTCCTTCCATTTTGTCACTGCTGCACAGTGATACATACTGGTTCCAGTGCATTCAGATTTGTTGAAAAAAAGAGCTTGGCCTTGTACTTAGCAAAGAATCAAGGAAATTGAGATGTAATGGTAAATAGTTATCTCTGTCTACAGACTGAATTATTTCAGCTGTGTGGCCAGCAGCTAACTTTACATACCAAGTATTGTGCCCTCAAAAATTCAAACATTTCTGCTGACAGTAGTTAATTTTAGAAACAACAAAAGGCAAAAAAACAAAGTGAGAAGGCAAGGAATCTTAAAGTCTGAAAAGAGAGAGATAAGCAAAACCATGTTTTTTTAAAAATATAATAATTCTCAAATATCACTACCATGATGCAAAAATAAGGCTTTTTTTAAAAAAAGATTTTTGTAACAGTATTCCACCAAACCTAACACATCTTCAAATCCCAGGCCTGTTTTCAGTAATGGCACATTGCTAAACATGTAAAACTTAGAAGTACAGGAGAAGGAACAGGACTTTGTTACAAAGCTTAAAAAAAAGCATTTGTGCACGAGCCGTTATACATCTTAATGTCCATCTGACAGTATTAATTCCACGATAAATGTTAGATAGTTAATCCAAGTCTGTGGACAGATTAAAACTGTCAGGTATCTGGTGCCGACTTTGCAGGAGAATTATGCAAAATTTACTCGCTTTTTCTACAGAAAGTAAAAAAGAATATGAAGCTTCTCTTCACACAGAAAACAAGTCTCAGAGGAAAGTCTGTCCATTACCTCACTCATCCCTTCTTAACGCTTAAATTTCTATACAGAAATCTGGATAGAATCTAGCATGTTACTCATTCCATCTTCCTCTCCCTTTCTGGGTCTCATTCACAGCTGCTTCGCCCACCAGATCTAGATAGCAGCATTACATCTCCAGTAAGAGACAAAAAACAAATTTAGGTAAGAAGTCCAGAATCATCCTTACTCTGAACTTGGAAGAGAAAACGTAGTCCCTGAAAAACTAGACATCCTTTGGAAAGGATACCAAAATACACTGCTTTTGTTCACATGAAAGAATAATAACTACTTTTCCACTCCCCTGGTGATTTCTGTATCAGATACATGCTGCAAACTTCTAATGGTTTTACGGAGAGTTGAAAGAATGGCATTTTGTCTCGCTTCTTGCCCCAATAAAAACAGAAGGTCAATGCAAAGGATTGTCTACAGAATCCTACCTGCACATAAAGCTGGAAAACAAGACACTTTCACAGTTGAAGACAAGATAGTTTCCGTGATTATCCATGCAAGATTTCCCCAAAATCTGACTTTAAGTTAGCTAAAGTTATATAAATACAATTCACAATGAGACACTTGTACAGTTCTATAGTTCTAAAAACTGCATCAAAACAACAATCCTCCTCTCTTTCCCAGTAGAGGTTCCAGACAACCTTTCAATACCTTCAGGCCTTGAAGTCAAACAGGCATCACAAATTTCAGCAGAAGGCTTGTTTATTAGGGTACAGTGCATACACGTCCACTCCTCTTCAGATTTCCGAGCTACGTGTTCATCAGGACATGATCCCCTGCCATACGCCCAGCCAATTACGCTATTTCTAGTTGGCAGCTTGCTGTGGAACAAAAGAATGATGTTAGTCTTTTGTGACGTTTCTCCTACAAATTGCCTTACACCAGCATGTGCAGGGAGGCACAGGACTGGAGAACGAGTGGTACACAGTGTTATGCCTGCCCATCACAGCTTGGACAGCATGTCATGGTTCCACTTTGATTTTTTTTTTTCTTTGCCTCAAGGGCAAATCTTTGCCAGTGCTGCAGAAGAAAAATATTTAAATGCAAACGGACAGAAAGTTAATAATTAAGCTGATGTGCTCTCCAACACAATGCCCCAGCTTCTCTCAAATTCCCCACCATTTTCAAGTAGTGCAGCAAGAAACTTGGTGAGAAAGGGAAACCGTTTCAATACTTTTCCCCATCCCTTGTGCAGAACACTTACTAACAAATGCATTACTGGATGAAGAACTGTTCAGAGGCCAAACTACGTAAGGTCACACAATCTAGCAAACGTTTTTTTTTTCCTCTGATTTAAATGGTACCCATCAGACCACTTTGTTATCGTAACAGCCAACAGAACTGAAAACCTTAAAAGTTAGAAAGTCTTTCTTGTGTGTTACCATTTGCTGGAAAACCTTTTAACATTTAGCAGCTTGTTCAGAATCGGAGATTTTCTTTTTGGGTTTTTTGTTTGTT